TGTCCAGAGTTTGAAAGTTAAAAAGACGAGTCGTCTTTTATAGAAAAGACATACATATATAGATGAATGTATATAGAAATAGGGAGTCAAATTCCTAGTTTGAAGTATTTTGAAAGGAATTATATGATTTTCGTATACTTCTGAGGACTATTTACTTATATTCAAGACCCAAATGCCAAAATGGCGAATCTGTCTTTTCAACTATTTAGACGACAATGAATTTAGAGAAATACACCCGGAATAAAATATCAAAATGATAACATTATATTGAATGTATTGAGTATTTTTAATATGAAAATACGAAATCATAAAATCATCATAGAACGCCAATAGCGAATGTAATAAAAATTTCAAGCAAGAAAATTTCGTTAATCAAAATCTCGTCCAAAACATGGCAAAATCAAGAGTAAAATTATTATAGTAGTGGACTCCTCCAACGGGAAGTACCATCCGGTGTTTCTAGAGGAGTAAGCATGATCTGCTTCGCGTAGAAAATTCGGGAAAATATAGCCTAAATGACTAGCCTTAAACTAAATGGCTATTTTGAAACACTTTTTAAATCTTTATAAGCCAATGTTTAAAGAAAATGGAGAATAAAATTGAAAAATGAGTTGATAGCGTTTTTGCGGATCATTCTATCTAGATCTTATAGAACATCAAAGCTAGTATCTAATATCTTTGTGCATTTTATCATGCAATCTTACTTACCCGATACCCGAGATGGTAATCTTTTTTAATGAGGGCATTAAACTAAATACACAATAAAAACTATCTGTCAATATCTAAAGTTTATAAAGATTATTAGGTTTAACGTGTCAAGATTAAAGTTGAGTTTCTATACGAGGCTAATTAATAACGTATTTTCAAATGTAACACAATATATACATACAAACTTATAAAACTGTATTGTGTTTAGATGAAAATGTCGTAGAGCAACTTCTTATACAGTAGGCTTACTGCTTTATTAAGACAAGGAGTGCATGCTCCATGCAAAGGACCAATACCTCAAGAATAACGATCCGAAATTTTGATCCGCCTTTGCAGCGTTACTACAGCCTAATTGTGTAAACTTGGGTGGTAGTTTTTGCTTATGCCAGTTCAATTTTGTTCAGATGTTTTCTAAAACTCTTATCATCATGTATAATAGCACCTTTCATAGATAGTTGTTATCGAATGGAGTTTTAATGTACCCATGTATTTATAAGATATGCTCAATATTTGTTAGTTTTTTTTTCGTAATTCTGGTCTAGATATCAAATTAAATTAAAATTTATTATCTATTTCTGGATAGTATTTAATGTCGAAATACAGAATTTTCAAGCCCTCTCTAACCCTGAGTTTATTTATTAAAATCAGGTTTAAATTCGCAGAAGTTTTTCATAACTCGAAATCTTTCAGGCCCTCTTTAACCCTATGCACGCCGTGTTGAGTTTATTCACTTACTGTCAAATTAAAATACAGGTTGACTGGGGGTCAGAGGTTAAGAATTTCACCAGTATAAAAATCTACTCTCGTGTTTTATGTTTCTCCACATGCATGTCTTTGAATTTTTATATCGTTTTGTTTAAGATCTATTATAATATTATAAAAGATTTATTTTATGATAGGTATGCCAGATTTTTTGTATAAAATGACATATTTATTTTTTTTTCGATATTTTTGTCTGTTTTAAAACCACCTGCTATTTGATAACGGTTGTGCTCTGGTGGTATTTAAAATATGTCGATACAGTAAACCTTGTTTAATCCGACATACATTGGGATCACATAAATTTGTCGAATTATGGAGATTGTTTTGTATTTCTTTGTCAATCAAAGGAGATTGTTTTGTATTTCTTTGTCAGTCAAAGGAGATTGTTTTGTATTTCTTTGTCAGTCAAAGGTGATTGTTTTGTATTTCTTTGTCAGTCAAATGAGATTGTTTTGTATTTGATGTCAGTCAAAGGAGATTGTTTTGTATTTCTTTGTCAGTCAAAGGAGATTGTTTTGTATTTGATGTTAGTCAAATGAGATTGTTTTGTATTTCTTTGTCAGTCAAAGGAGATTGTTTTGTATTTCTTTGTCAGTCAAAGGAGATTGTTTTGTATTTGATGTCAGTCAAATGAGATTGTTTTGTATTTGATGTCAGTCAAAGGAGATTGTTTTGTATTTGATGTTAGTCAAATGAGATTGTTTTGTATTTCTTTGTCAGTCAAATGAGATTGTTTTGTATTTCTTTGTCAGTCAAAGGAGATTGTTTCGTATTTGATGTCAGTCAAAGGTGATTGTTTTGTATTTGTTGTCAGTCAAAGGTGATTGTTTTGTATTTCTTTGTCAGTCAAAGGTGATTGTTTTGTATTTGATGTCAGTCAAATGAGATTGTTTTGTATTTCTTTGTCAGTCAAAGGAGATTGTTTTGTATTTGATGTCATTATATTTGTTCCAGCCACCCTCAGTATTTTTCTTTGTTTGATGAAAAATGTCAACAACTCCATTATGACAAGTTTAATGAAGGCTTCAGACATGATAATACTTCTCGTTACGGTGATTCTATTGTCTTTTTAACATTTAAGTTTTTAAGTTTCCAATGATGTCTGGAATTTTAATCCTCATGTTCTCTGTTGATTATTCTGACTACAATTACTAATTTATGCTAAATGGACAGAAAACGGATTATTTAAGTAATTCAACAGGTTAGTTGAATTTGCTACGCTTGCCATTGTGCAGGGTATATTTCGAATCAGAGGGGTCACCCGGACACCCCCCCCCCCCCAAGACATGTTTTTCGGGCACAAAAATCTCATAACAAGGTTAGAATTTCGGGCAACCTCACATATCCCCCCTCCGGACGTAAACCTGATTCCGCCACTGTTTTGAATATACTTTTATCACAGTCGTAAGGAAGATTTAGAACTAGAGTTAATGATGAACGTATTTTGACAATGAGACCGTGTTAAAGAAACTATTCCTTCTGTTGTCATTACAGAAAAAGCCAAAATTAACGAAAAAATATTCAACAAAAACGCAATCATATATTGTTTTATACTGGGAGAAAAGATTTAGTTATAGTCAGTTTGGTTTTATTATGTATTATTTGGAATGTGAAAAGTTAGACTATGATTGTCGATGATCATTAAGAAACGTGAGAATAATGTTCAATGAAGTAAGGATACGGCCACTTCGGCTCTTAGTATTGAGAAAATAATCTAATTCAAACCTAGTTTTATTATGAATAGTTCTGAGTGTTGTGATTGTTAATAGCTGAATTTATAAAGGTAAATAAATAGCATGTGGTTTATTATTATTCATTAGACTACTGCTCTCACCTAGTGTAGGTTATTGATATTGGTGGGGTCGTAACCTCTCGAGTATAATCACTCTCTAGTGCCCCGGTGTGATGTACGTGACGGCCGTATTCATTTTGTCACATCCACGTCACACACCGACAGCTGCCAGATTTCATTAATTAATAAACTACTTAATGCATTCAGAAGAAACATCAAGAGATTGTAAATTGTAGATTATTGATCATAGATCTAGTTAAAATCGAAAAATGTGATTTCGAGTAAATCTGTTGATAATGTCAGAAGAAATTGCACGTGATTGAAAGATTGTAAATCTAATATTGAAATCTAAATAAAATCAAAACACGTCATTTCAAAATCTATATCGTCTATTAATTGCACTAATTTAGTACGTAAATCTCCAGTTCGAATCAGTAACTACCGTGGAAATGAAATGAATGGAGATTAACGTCTTACTTTTTATCATGCACTCTTCATCTAATGTCCATAGATGCTGTATCACTCATCTGTTTTATTGGCCCAACCTGGACGCAACATTAAAAGGATGTTAACTTCCAATTTTGATAGAACCCACTTCTTTTTAAATGAATCACCTACGTTTCAACAAAATTAACCCTGTCCAGATCCCTGTTTGTTGTTATATTCACAGTACTGGTCAAATAGCCTTTTTTCAGAGTAGGAAATAGGGTAAACTGGTATTTAAATGCTGATAAAAATTTGTTTTAATGACATTTTGTAATGAAATTTTGCATACTTGTTGACTTATGTATTGTCTTGAAATTGTTTGCATTAGTAATATACTGTATGTACTTTAGTAGGGGCAGAAGAAGATCAGTTGTCGAAAGATCGCAAACGTGATTATACTCTGAATAACAATATGATTTAGGTTCTTATATCTTCTTTTTATTTCAATGTAAATGTTATAAGTCTCTCATCTCAATGTCTAGATATTTAAAGGTTAACTGGTGGGAGTTATAAAATCTTGTTTAATATAGTGATAATGAAAGAGATTAGTCGAGTGGTTTTGTTAATCTATTTATTACAGTTGACACCAGACTTGACATTTGTTAATAATATTGTTAATATATTTCTCAGTCTTTATTGATATATTCAGTTGTTATCTCACTTTCATTGTTATTCTGTAGGACTTTTAAGTGATATTGATTAACAGAGGACACTGGGCCGACTCCCGGAAGCACTAGCCATGGCAAAGGAATTGGAATAAAGTAGTAATACCATATATGACAAACGGTGACAATGTAAATTGTAAAATGTTGTCTAGAATTAAAGGAGCATATTAACTGATGTAGCCAATATACATTAAGAAGCACACAATATATGGGGAACAGTGTAAGTTGTAGAAACGTTGTGTACAATAAAACCCAGGAGTAGTATACTATACAAACTGATGATGACAATGTAAATTGTTCAAACGTTGTGTACTATAAAACCCAGGGGTAGTATACTATATAAACTGATGATGACAATCTAAATTGTTGAAACGTTGTGTACAATAAAACCCAGGAGTAGTATACTATATAAACTGATGATGACAATGTAAATTGTCGAAACGTTGTTTACAATAAAACCCAGGAGTAGTATACTATATAAACAGATGATGACAATGTAAAACACAATCATCGAAATATTTTTGTTAATGGGAGAAAATTACTTTTGTTGATGTAAAACTATACTGTATGGGTTTATGTGACACAATATGGCCAATCGGCGTATGTTACCTTGCCTGACAGTCCAATCCTGTTAAAGTTGGATGGTCACATCGCTATGGTCAGCTAGTCAAGTCGGCGTATGTTACCTTGCCCGACAGTTTCACCCTGTTAAAGTTGGATGGTCACATCGCTATGGTCAGCAGGTCAAGTCGGCGTATGTTACTTGCCTGACAGTCCAATCCTGTTAAAGTTGGATGGTCAAATCGCTATGGTCAGCAGGTCAAGTCGGTGTATGTTACCTTGCCTGACAAGCTATTATTATTACTATCAATATAAAATTTGTCGTTTCGCAATGCCAGTTTAACCCTGTTATAGGATGGTCATCTCGCTATGGTCAGCTGGTCATTGTAGATTGTAAATGAAAGATTATTTGATATTGTGTAAATAGATAATGGCCTCTATTGTTAGAGTAAAACATGTCAAAATTCGCCAATACTTGATAATGTATGAATAAAGAACTTTTTTCAACCATTTGATTAGCTGAACTCTTTCAACTGATTGAGAGGAGAGGAGAATTTAGATTAAGGATAGTCAAAGATATTTTAGTCGTTGTATTTGAAGCTTCTTATTACACCATTCCAATCTCCAATCCGACTTCTGTGGTTTGTTCAATTCCAGAAAGACTGACCATACTTTGTAAATTCAATGCAAAACCCTTTGCAATTTTGTATGTGGTAAAAGAATTTCAGGAACCGCAGATGTAAGGCATGCAAATACATGTAGAAGCAATAAGTGAGCACATTCACAGACCAGAAAACCTTTTTGAACCTCGTTAAGTCCTATGTATTTTATTATTCATATTCAATTCTAACTATTGTGCAGAAAAGTAGGACGGAAAACTCCATTCACTTCATTCATTCATTTACTCAATTCTAACCATTATAACAATAACACTATCTCACGGACCACTTGACTACAGATAGCCCAAATTAAAGGCAAATTAACTCGTGTATATAAGGTCACTTTTATTATTCAAATCCCCATTCAACCATGATTAATCCCTGTTTAACACGCTGACCACTTGACTGAAAAGGACTACGGTTAAAAATGAATAACTAAATCTCGTTGGAATATGAATATGAATAATTCAACCGGTGGTAATCCAGTTTTACACTCTAGACACTTGACTGGAAAACGGGATAAAGAATAAAGGGATATTTTCGTCGAGATATTTGTTTAATCAGCAGATGAAACTCAGTTGCAACTATCTATAGTACTTGCCATATCATTATGTGCCTGAGGACAACGGGGGGAAACACGTCGAAACGTTGCATAAACTTTAACCAGTGATTGTTGTTCCATAAAGCTGTATATATTTCGTACTCACAATTACTAAATGCTATTTAAAGACTTTATCTCTAGTACTTTTCAAAGTGAAGCCCCTAGCCTGTCAAAGATACCTTCATTATATTCCAATTGAAGAATTGAGTTAAAAGAATATTATTTGTTCAGTTCGTCGCCAATAATAGTAGTTATTGAAAGCAAGTATTCAGTCTCTGTAAATCAATTCATGAATCAAACTGGTTAAAATACAGATCTAAATGTTAGTTTTGTGGGTTTTGTTGGCGATGGTGACAACCTGCTGTAAAAACCCACAAAACGAAAGACCCCAACAGACTACTCCAACATATAGCCTATTTAGGGGTACCGGTAGTTGAAATATTCAATAATCTCAACCATGTGTATTTGATAGAGATTAACATAGGGACCACTTGAATGAATTGATAGCTTTATAATTTGTTTAGTTGAAAACTGAATAGTGATAATGCTCACACTATAAAGTGTTTATTTTCAATGTAAATAATTTGATCGTCTTATATCGCCATTATTAAGATGTAAAATTGTAAAACTGTAAAATAAAATGCTTCTAATTCTTGCTTGATTGCTCTTCATGGGTTTAGTTTTTATTCACCACTACCGGTTCAATAGCAAACGGTTTTAAGTGTTCGTCACAGCTTCTTTTTTACCATTTTGACTTTTTGTATGTGGTTCCCATTGGTGTTTGCTTTTGCAAGTTTGGAACCATGGCCGTAAATCATAGTTCTTAGACACGTTCATCACTCTGCCTTGTTGCTGTATTAAATGGGTGTATATATGTATATTTTAGAGATGGGTAAGAACAAGAAAGGAAAGAAGAACAACAACAATACAGGAGATAAAACTAAAGTTAGTAGAATAAAGAAACTGAAGGCCAAACCAGTGGCTAAAAATTTAAAAAGGGTAATTATTTTTCGTCACTTCCGATAGAATGTTTGCACAAGAAACCCTCCACTTACTAAGACCTAAGAGATCACCCAATAATAAGACAGTTAAAGGGAAATACTAAACTTCCCAACCCCCAAGTATGATTACGTACATGAACCTCAACAATCCCTTTTAGATATAAACAGGTGCTTGCAACCCTACCAGTGATCAGGACGTTATATTGTTATATTTTTGTACGACGTAAAACATCAATTTTACAGCAAAATATGTTTCCACAAATAATTTTGTTTGTATGTATATAAGTTTGGTGAAATGCAAGAATGGTTTTGGGTCTTATTTCTTACCCTAATTAAGTGATTATTATTATTATTATTATCTTTCCAACAGACATCAAGTTATATTTCATATCCAAGATCAGGAACAATTTAGACATAAAATTCCAATTTATCTCGTTCTATTTGTAATCTTCTATTACCAGTATTCCCAGTCAGTCATAAATATGACACCAAAACCTCTACTGTCATTAATCCCCCTCTTGGTTTATGTATTTTATAGAGCTAGAGTCATGTGTTGTAAGAGAATATTAATATTGGTATAAGCCAGGGACTGAGTACAGCTCGTTTCAGATCTTCTATGTGTATTTCTTTATTAGATCATAAAATAGCGGGTAATATTTGATCACCCTGATGTATTGAATCAGAGCAATAATCTCGTGTTTAACACGGTAAGACGTGTGGATTGCCCTGAAATTCTAATCACTTCCCAGCAGGTAATAAAGGAAGATGTTCTAGTAAACATCTGAACCTTTTTTTTTCAACCTTTTCTTTATATTACCCCTTTCATAATCCTTGATCAATTGCATTACCCATATCTCCCCTATAAATCCTTACTAATTCGTGAATTTTTTAACTGTTACCACCCTTCCTCTATAAATCCTTACTAATTCGTGAATTTTTTAACTGTTACCACCCTTCCTCTATAAATCCTTACTAATTCGTGATTTTCTTAGATTTTCCCTGCAGTTTTTTTCATGTCGGATAATATAGCCTGACCGAATTGAACGACTTAAATTATAATTGTCAGAAAATTTCATGCTACACTACAAAGCGCCTCGTCCCCCCTGATCTGCAATGGCATCTTCCTGAGTTCTTTACCACTGACACAGGGAATTCAAATGCGTTGAACCTGTAGGCTAGACATAGTCGAAACCGGAAGTGTAACATCTTTCCAATGTGTCCTCTGTCATAAATAACCATAAATATTCAGACTGCTTTCAGAAATCTTTGAAAACGGAATTCCTTCTGGTATAAAACACTCGCGTATAATGTAATGAAACTCCGAACCCCACATATTGTTACCTTAACGAGTTACATTCTCTTCGTTTATTGGAAGGCCGTGGCTAAATGGGCATTAAAAACATATGGCCATCCCTACCTAACCCTAACATAGTCACTTAATATCATTCTTGACAATCAAAATAGCTTCACACTTAAAAAAAACAAAAAAGAAAAAACGGTGACGGTGCAAATAGCCAGTGTGTTATTTGGAAACCAGTGATTGTACTCGATGTCATTAAAATATTTCCCTTATTACCCACTGCTAAGCATTACCCACTACAAAGCATTACCCCTACTTGACTTTAATATCATATCAATTAATTGGAAGCACGTCCTTGAATATACGGAAAGAATAGTGGGTATCATGTTGGTGATAAATCAAGAGATTGAATAGAAACAAGTAGTGGTCTGATTCCTCTCTCGAGATTTCCTTCTCTGCTATTTTTATTATTACCTCATCTCTTGCATAAAACATGATGCATATTTCATTTTATTGACTGATAGGTCGTGGGAATTGAAGGCAAGTCAAGCTTCAGCCATAATGGTATTAAACATGGGGTTGGAATATTATGGAGAATGATTAGGTAGGGTGAAGTAGGGGAAAGGAATTGGTTTCGAACGGATGGGTTGGGATAATAGGAAGAAGCTTTAGTCATTAAACTTGGGGATGCAATGAGGTATGAGGACTAGATTTGGGATGTGTTTAGGGATGGGATAATGTGGAGGGGGGGGGGGGGTATGAAATGGAGTAGAGGGTATGGGGAGGTTGTGATGGAATAAGATATGATGATAGTGTAGGTATATAAGGTGCTATAAGATATTAGGATAGAATAGGAAGGAATAGTTGAGATGTGCATTAGTAAGATGGTATAATATAGGGATGAGATAAGATAGAGGGAGATAGTATAATATTACTGTATGATACAGTTGGATATCATGATATATAATAGGTTGTGTTGATAGCATAGTACGGATTATAATATTATAAAAGAATAAAACAATTACATGTTCTTCTTGAAATGGATCTTTCTAACTATTGAAACTGTTTAAATTGACATTCGATTGTCATTGACTAAAAACTAGCAAACACACAACAAACAACAAGAACACCTATTCAAATGGTTTATACACGAGGGCGTTAGTTATCACCATCATCACCGTCCTATAAAAATGCTTGTAATTTAGCACGAAACCGATTGAAAAAACCTGATCTGAGTCCATGTTCAATGTGATTATCTGTAAATAGATTATGGCTGTAAAAAGATAATGTGAGTAAAAATAGACGATAATAAACGATATATTTTAAGAGCGACTAATGGGGGATAATGACTTGAGACAAACACAATTACAGATTTACCGTTTCCTTATCTTCAAGAACACTTTCTTAACTTAAATCAAATTTACTTTCTCATTGGCTTCAAGAACACTGTTTTAAATAGAATATTGACACAATGTCGCTGTGATATTTAAATGACGTCACTAAGGAATTACCAGTTGCCTATTAATCAACTATAATGGTTAAACTTGAAAATTCGAGCCTTCAGCCCAGTCACCAGGAATGAATTGGTGCTGGGGCTCAGATTTAGAAATTTCGAAGAATTAAAGGCCCAGAGAACTCATTTCTGACATTTTTGAGGTGCCAAGATAATATCAAAATCTATATCTTTTTGATTTTGTACAAAGACACTGTAAATAAATCTATGCTGAACTGAAGAAGTTTTTACTGGGGCTTAAGTCTCACTTGCTGGGGCCCAGCCACCACGGACCCCACCCTTACGAAGGTGCTGTACTGTTCTTTACTCTGTGACCTTTAAGAATTTGATAATCCAGATTTATTCATATATTATAGAATTATCAATACTAACAGTGGTATACCTTGTAGTTAAAGGCAACACACCTCCCTGATTCTAGCCTGACTAGTGAATCAGAGACTGTTCTTATGCTTTCTGTTTGGTTTTCCAGCAACATAAGCATTACAAACATAGATACAGCTTAACGTTATTGTTAAAGAATCGCTGGTTAATGATGTATGCAAAGCTTCGATGTGTTTCTCTCATCGCCCTACCATAGTATTTAATGGTACAAAAACAGAAACTTTCAGAAATTGTAATCTACCAGAAAGCGCCGTATTTTTAGACGAGCTCTAATTGTTATTACAGCAATACGATCTTTTTGTTTGTTGACGGAAGGTAAAATAAACCGTAGTTGTAAGTGAAACGTAAATAAAGTTTCGTTCCATTTCAGTAATTACTATCAATTAAGGTAAAGAATGGAGGGAATGGGTTGGAATAATCTCATCAATTTAAAGCGTTAATACTTCATTTCACTTCAATAGTTTTATTACTATAACTGACAACAGAACTGTCCAATATTGAAATATTGACAAATGATTTTTATTTTTGTTATTTTGCTAAAATCGTTGGGTCTGATGTATTGCTTATTTTATTATTTGAATTATTACGTTCCCTTAAGGTGCGAATGGACGATAGATGGTGTCCGGTGCTGTAGTATCAATACAGTAGAAAATAGAAGAGGCGATGCACGGGGTACGGGTCATATCACGTTGTATTTCTTTTAAATGCTGTCGTATCGACAATTCCGCACTGAAGACTGTACCTTGTTGGGTTTTGTTGGTTTGTTGGTAGACGACAAGTTATCGTACTTTATTTCATGGACAATCTTACGGCTGTATTTTGATATTTAACGATTAAAGAGATTGTTTTAACTTTTAATGAACATAAAATTTGAACGATATTTAGAAGGGAGAGCATAAGGGAATATATAATATGGTATAACACACTTCTTTACTAACAAAGTACATAATCTTGAGAAATTGTAAAGGGTTTGTTCGAATATTTGTCAAGTGAAAGCTGAATTTGATCTATAAATATTTAGACGACTGTATCACTTAAACTATAATGCTCCTACCAAGATTGAACCTGTCACAGTATTCCATGTTTGATAAATGATATCTGTGTACTGTTTGATGATAATATTGATATTCTGTCAGTTGGTAACTTCATAATAAATCTTTTTATCTTGTCGAGTTCCACAGCTGGCTTTGTCATTTATCCTTTTTTACAATTACAAAATTCAACCATATCAGATCGAACTCTCAGTATTTCTTTAACACGAGTAGTTTTGTCCGGACCGGACAATTTGGCAAGTCGTAGAGTAAAGTGGGTGAAACATACCAGGTCTATCTCAATTGTATGCAGATATGATATAATCCAGCGACTATATTGTGCGTATGCCCAGACACGAGAAGAATAGAAAGAATACCACATAAACATTGCTAGCTAGGGAACTCTCCGAGAGGGAACCCTAGCTAAAAAACGCAGTCACAGTTTACACGCCCTGCCAACATCAATACATCTACAGTGTCCATTAGAGAGAAGCTTCAGTTATAACCCGGCAATGAGTTCCTTGTATACATTTTCTATTTTCAGTTAAACCAGATAAATAAAGCTCAAACTGAAGATTTAGATAAAGGCTATGATAGTTTTAGACATAAAGTTATAAAAACAGCTCAAGATGGTCAAAAATCTCAACAGAAACCAGTTACACAGAAGGTAGGTCGAATAAAGTTCTTGATTAAGCATCGAAGCCTATTCTTAATGTGTAGGCCAAGAATCCCTCCCCACCCCCCACACACGCACACGCACACGCACACGCACAAACACCTCCTGCTGCTTGTGACGCTACTTTAAAATAGTGAAGAGGTATAAAAGTGTGAAAAAGCCCAGATGGCATCTACCAACCAACCTAGAAAGCTTATTCCATAATATTATCTCGTGTTTGTGATATCTAGGAACCGTATTTTATTCTATCAAAGATATTCTAAATCTTTCTAAATTGATTTTGTCTTTAATTATTGCTGTTTCTCGGTGATAAATCTTATAAAAACATGGATTTGTTGTGAAAGAAAATAAAACTAAAATAAAAGACAAACGAAGATTTATTTTATCGTTTGAATTAATTTCTATTTTATTTGTTTTCATTTAATTTACATGTAATTTAGAAGCTATTTAATATCTTGCTGAACATATAAAATTGATTAAAAGCCAAGGTTTTGCTATCTGTTCTTTTATTTCTGTTTAATGTATAATTTATTTGTCAAAATTGGTGATTTTCATTAATTCTTTTTAATATTTTATCATTAAAGATGGGTTCCCTTATTTCCATAAATGAAAATGCTAATACTTATATAGAGGTGATCTAATGACACGGAAAAATTCCAGTTCGTCTCACATGTTCACAATTAATTCATAATTAGCTAAATTAGAACAAAATTACTAGCAGAATTCCAATGAGTGACCGATCAAGAAAATAAACTAAAGTCTTTTTTTGTTTATCCAGACTGTACATACATGGACATTTTATGATTGGTTAAAAATCTTAATTATATGCAAGAAGAACATAATGATATGATTAAGAATACATGATAATTCACTAGAAACACCAATTAATCAAAAATAAGGAACGCATCTTTAATTATCTGATGGGACTGTACAATAGAATACAATACGTGAAAATTAATTGTGGACTTACTTTCAATATCTTATTCAAACTACAGACAACTGCCATTGTTCCGAGCACAGTTCTGCTTGCTTTTGGACAGGTATATCTCCACTAGCACCATTGTTAGAATTCCACTGGTCGCATATGTAACTTAGCTGTGGTCATATTATTAGTTAGGAAATAAATTTGATTTTATTCTTAATGAGATAGTGAAGATGTAATGACCAATGAAATGGTATCAATTTTAACTTTTGAGACGACAGGCTTGAATACAAATTAATAAACAAACAAATATAATATCTATGTTTCAGGTGAAGCCAAAACGAGAAGAAAGAAAACCGGAACCGGATATTGATGTTGCTATGGAGGATTTCTCTAAATTATAACTGTTGTGATTGTTATTGTAAATAATAATATAGGGAATACGTTTGTATATAAACTATGGTACATTCTGAATGTGTGATATATTCAAACCATTATTTCGAGGAGGTTTCCATTATTATTTATTTTACCCTCATATAAAGTAGGCACTGTATGTTTTGAATCGTCCACAGAATATGTAAAGTTCGATAATGAACAATATGACATAAGCCTTTTTTGATTAGCCCAATGAACAAGAAATAGAACTGTAAACTTTATTTGATTAATTTTGGGTCTGCCTGAAGTAGAATTTAACCCAGATATATGAATTCTCACGAATAATGACAATCAAGTCTTGTAACAGTAACAAAATAACAACTGGTGTCCTAACCTAGATTTCTAGCAACACGAAACTTACATTATAATATATGAATAGTTCCAACAAAAGGCCTATTTGATTTGTTTATTTATAAATGACCGAGTAGTCTTTAATACTTTACTTTGTACATTATAGCCCCGTCACACAATACTGCGACTATTTGCGATCTTACGGCAACTGGAAAGTACTGGCGGATAAACGTGAGGAAAACTAAAGAAAAGGTCCATAAACAATTGTAAACTTCAAAATCCAATCCCTCGAGTTATGCGTCCTTGCCACGCGAGTACTGCACATTTAAACCGCTCAAGTAGATGTTACATCGCTTGTCTGACGACCTTCTCGATTCCATGGCACGTTACAGAACAGATCGCAGAATCTTGGCGTTCGTTTTGAACATGTCCATCAAAATGTTTTATCATCAGGTAACTTACGAAAAAAACAAACAACACACCCCTCACCCTTTACCCCTATTCTATGTTTGAACGCATCTAATACTCTCTCACTCTCCATCTGTCATGTAAAGGGAGGAGATGGAGGTGTAGCTTTACCAGGCGTCTCAAACCTCATTTGGTTTACAAAACGCTACCATTTTAATTGTCCATGAGACCTCTCAGGTACCCCTGTTGTGTTCGCTGGTAAAGAATCATCACCCTCCTTGTTCCTGGGCTACTAGACTGTAACCTCGCCATGGAAATATGAAACTATATTTTCCAGTACAGTGATTGTGTTCAATTTAATATTAAAAGTTGAAGTAAGCTGATATTAAGATATATTTTTATAGAAAATAATCTCTATTCAGCTCGTCTCAGTTGAATTATTGTTTTGATTTGTAACAGATTACACGTATTAAGGCAAAGCGTGTCGAAATCTTTTATTAAAGTGTTGAATTGAAAAGAGGGTGGAATTTGAGTCTTTATCATGCCTAATTAATGCACTTTTTAATTTCTTACATGTGCACAAATTGCTCGTAACATTTAGTCTACCATTTTTTTTTTCAAATTAAACCTGTAAGCATTAATATCGGAATTGTATAACGAGGTGTTCTATATTTCTATGTGCATCGGGGACACTGATGGTATCCTGCAATTCCACTAAAACTAAGACGTCCTTGATCTCAAAATATAGCAGCGTCATAAAACAGTTTTTAAAAGAACCACGGACGTCTGATTGAAAATTTAAAAGGCGCAAATTGATGCTATCAGTGTCCCCACAACACATACAAAATTTAGAAAACCTCCCTACAATCTTTTAAACTATAAATTTAATGTAATCACTTGCAACGTTTAATGAAATGGAAATGAGGTATGTCTTACTTTTTTGCTCCAGGTTGGGCTTATAAACAACTGGAACAACCAGTGGTTCAACTATACCATATGGACTGGTTGAACCAAGTCCACGAGCCTCAACCACCAGTAAAAAAACTTATCTTAAAATGACAATATCTTAATGGTTAAAAACTAATATGGTTAAATTAACTAAAATGGTTCGCAAGGGTCCTACCATGGTCAATATTATGTCCTTTTGTAAAAAAAAAAATCCCCGGGGAGGGGTCCAGTTCACAGGACTTTACTCATATAGTTGAGCCACTGGCAATATACGTTATACTGTTGCCCAACCTGTTGAGTTATCAGGTGGAAAAGAAGGGGAGCAGAATTATCAGGGAGGTATTACAACACCAGGCGTTCTCTATGTAAAATTATAAGAAGCGTTAAAACGATTTAAGATTTAACGATGAGATAAAAGATAATTTCAGATTTTGCGATAAAGTTAGCTAATTAATGTAGAATTAATATTAAATCTATATAAGAGATATCATCGGGGTTTAATCGCCTATAAATATCAACATCGATACACGTGTCCAATTTATACATCTAAATCAGATATAACTGACTAAAAAATAACAAGCCCAGTTAATGTATACGTCAGTCTAACTTGAAAAACATATCAAAATATCGAAAAGAAGCTGTCTAGCCTTTAAATGTGTATCGTGGACACAATATATAGCTTCTATAATGCAACATTACGATGTTAAGTTCGACGTCGATGGTTAAAATATTTACCAAGTTCTGACGTCACTTTCCAGAATACCATTCACACTATTTGATATCTGACAATATTGATTTAAAAATTCTGCCTTTTGGTGGACCGCAACTTCCTGACTATATGCTATCATGTATCGTGTATTTAAACTATAATTGAGTTGGTAAGTCTAAATCTTACCCTAAATAAGGACTAATAATAGGGCAAGAGAAATCAGACCCAGTCTTTGAACAATTAAAATAAAGTGTAGGGGTAATACGATCCTACCCCAGAATAAAAGAAATATATAGGGCACAGGTATCTAGACCCGACCCTGATCTCACGATGATAATTCTAAAAAGAAACCAGAGCCGACCCAGACCAAAGGTAATACCTGGTGAATGAAGTTACTAATTGGACCCCGACCTCGACATAATATCTATAATCACTGGTATCGGGTAGATAATAATCTGGATTAGGTGTCAGTATCACCATTCTGGATCATTCTGAAAAAATGCCACCTAGAAGAATTGTCACTTAAAGCAGGAACCATCTCGCTACGATAAATAGAAAGATACAGCTGACCGGCTGAGCAATCGCAGTCGCCGCTAGCCACCCGTTGGCAAAATTTAATCAACCTGAGAAATCTACGACCTTTCAGTTGATTAAGAGACAATTTGGAAAAAGTGCGTGTCGAATCTGAAATCCATTTAATCACCAGCCTTGAACCAACTTTAATATTCCTTCTACATGTGAGATGAAAACCATCAAATTCCTAAAAAATTCACAACATTTTCTATTTGGGTATATCAATCAACCATTTCATTACTAACCCCACACCAATGGTTGGTAATCGTGCTGCCTGCCTGTCACAATCACCATCACTTCCTCCCAACCCCACCCTACCCCCACCCCCACCTGTCAGTAATACATTTCCCTCCTCCGAAGATCTCACCATGCTGCCTGACTGTCACAATCACCATTACCTCTCGACCCCCATCCCCACCTGTCAAAAACGTAGCTGGATGATAAGATACAGTAATTAAATTAGAATATATATAAGATGACTTGACTATTGTGTTACAATATAAATCTATTTTGACATTTTTAAAAAGAAATATGATGCTGTACAAAATAATGACACATTTTACAAAGGGTTAGATTTATATTGACGATACAAAATATCATGGTACTAATAAAAATCATAGGTAGAAACTGAGTTGAAACTTGTTGAAAACAGGTAATTGAACTGAAACTAAACTCAAATGGAGTTTTACGTCCTATTCTTCTGCTCCTAATTGGGCTATTGAAGTCGAGCCACTCCATGCAATGTGCAATGGGGATAATCTTGCCACGACAGTGGCATCAGCCTTCTCTTTTTTGATTTCCAACTGTCGAGAGATCTTTAACGTGCACAGCCTGTAGCACACGGGGCCTCGGTTTATTGTCCCAACTAAATGAATAGCCCATTTTCCAAGTCCGACCCTCGGACCTACATCACTGACAAGGGGAACCGGGTAAAATAACGTTTTAAATCCTATACATGTTCATGAGTGAAAGAACTCTAATGATTTACCTCAGTGAAATGTTACTGGCAATGTTGTTCTGGAGTACATGAAGAACAAAACCACAAAATAATGATTGAACTTTGATTGATAGAAACATCAACCTTTTTAGTTATTCAACTTATGTCGCTATCCTGGCAAACTCTTTGTAAACTGCATGAATTTTCCAGTCATCGTAATCCCAACCATGTGCAGAAAAGTATGATGTAAAACTCACCTCTTTTCATTTAATCGTTAGACCGAAACTGGTCAAACCATGGGGAGTTATTTCCCTTTCACAACTATTACGAACTACACTTCTCCAATGACCACAAAGAAACGGCAAAGCAAGAATCTGGAAATCCAAGGCACCGATAACAGTGTATTCAGTTCGAAGGTGGTAACAATGAGATTGGCTCAATCAGAAAATGTTAATATTTAAATAACTTATTGATTCGACCCAGATTCCTTCTCTTCTACGAACAAAATATCACCGTAAACATATTTTTGAAAGTTCAAAATATGTTTTACCGTCATTGGTCCGCAGTAAAGAAACGTACCCAATTAATTTGAACGACGCCCTTATATGGCAAATGATAATCAAGGCGCCATGGACTGGACTAACCTAGCATAGTAGTGTTATAGCTCAGGTAGTAGCGGATGTTTCCTCGTGATAACAAAAAACTGGTTAGATTGTCGTCTGCTTGGTTCGAATCCCCTATTCTGATGTCACTGCCAGTGCTCCCGTGTGTCGATACGGTGTTGGCTTCCAACCACATATACCTAGAAATAAGCCTCTGGAAAGATCTATGGTATATTATGAACTAATAAATCATAAACAAAAAGCAAATCAGATGAGAATGTGTCTCAGTGATAGAGGAATGTTTTGATGTCGTAACCGAGTTTCTGACCAAAGTAATTATTACCTCCTTTACTCTTCAATCAAAGAGAATTCTGGGCGTCGAGTTGAAATATTGGTCGACAGTCTCAAGGGTCCAGCATAATTATTGTTTATTTTATTAAATTAAAGTATGTGTTACCACCCCACACCTCTCCAAATACCCCCAAAACATAAATGACGACATTTACATATGAAAATAAATGTAATGTGCACAGAAAAAGGGGCATTGGACTGTTTCTGTCAATTACAAGTTAAAAATCAACCTAACAACCTATCTATTCTTTAATATAGATTACCCTGGTGTTTACAGATACACCTACCCTTTTTACCGATATAATATATAGATACGCCCTTTATAATGACCACGTGGGAACTTTCCGAAAAACGTGTTTGCCTTCTGATTGTCAATAAGGGCTGACTGAACAGTTAAAAGATATTAGACATTAAAGGGTACATTTAGGTCTTGTAAAAAGTAAGAAGTACTAGAAAAGTACGGAAATCTCATAATTCCTTCAAATATACCACAAACTATATATGTCAGAGTCGCAAGAAAAGACGAGTCGTCTTTTTAACTTTAAAACGCGGATAGTTCCGTACACAAGTGGAATTGAAGGCTCAAATTTCGACGATGAGCTGTGAACGCTATTATTGATTATCTGAGCTATAGAATTTCCGTTTTTGAGGTACGAATCTGTCTCTGTAATGATCTATCAACGCTGTGTTTCGACAAAAATAACTGTCTTTCTGCTTGATATTAACACGATATTTTGTGAGGCTCATTCTGCTGTCTAAAGACATTTCCTTCATTTCACAGCGTTTTCATTCTTCTTTCGGCCAACTGTCTTTATTAGAAAACTAGCCTATAAAACATCTCATTAGTTCAATCACGTGCAAACAGAACGATGTAATACTCCATTTCATTTCTACGGCGCAATCAATAGTAGAAAAATCAAAAATATGACGTAAAACTCGTTTTATTTTATTACATTGAACGTTAAGCTAAAGGAGGATTGTACAGAGATAAAAAGTAAGAGTAAAAGTGAGTATCAGTAAGAGTCAGTGAAGGTAGTAGGTAGGGTAGGATCACCACTACCAACATGTTGAGATCACCACGCCTCTATCTGACAGTTCTATTCTGTTTTATAGGTAACGATGTTTTTACTTATTACAAACAACTTCTACAACAACAGTCAACTAAATCAGGCTTGGTTTTTATTTGAAGTAGTTTTACATTCGAAACTGTGGATATGATATTCGAATCAGAAATATCACTAATAATTTAATTCGCAACGTTTTAGACTTAAACTTAAAATGTAACTTTGTGTTTCGTTTTTGTAATGAATATCCGACCATTTACGGGTTCGTTCAAAATCAAATATTAGTACCTTACTGCAAAATTTACGGTGGTTGTTATAAACCACTATTTGAAGAAAGGGAATTACAAACATTATATGATAAATTGGATTGATAGAAATGGTTCCTACATGTTTCTGGTGATCCTGAAGACTAGAAAACATTTTAAAATTCTTGTAATATTGAGGACAGTCATCGCATAGTCCAACACTTAACATTGTGCTAGGCCGTAGCGTGTTTGGAGCTCATGAGGCTAATGTCTTTCTGTTGAAACTACGGCTACTTCTTTTTCAATTATGTATTGAAAAGCAAACCTTTACATCAAGTTCACTTGGATTATAAGTCCGTGTCTTGTTGTAGGTCTGGTGATAGCTGCTCCATCCGGTTCACCATATTTAAAATGTTACCAGTGTGACGACCCAGAAGATGTCGAGGACTGTTTGTTTGAAGAAGTAACTTGTTCCAAATCTCAGGTGGGCCAATTATATTTGACTATCAAAGTTTTTCAACATTTTACATCAATAACCAGGACAATTTTAAACTCATGGTTTGTATTGTACACGAGGTTTCTATAATTTACATTGTCATCATCAGTTTATATGATACACTACTCCTGAGTTAATTTGTACACAACGTTTCTATAATTTACATTGTCATCATCAGTTTATATGATATACTACTCCTGGGTTTTATTGTACCCAACGTTTCTATAATTTACATTGTCATCATCAGTTTATATGATATACTACTCCTGAGTTAATTTGTACACAACGTTTCTATAATTTACATTGTCAACATCAGTTTATATGATATACTACTGAGTTAATTTGTACACAACGTTTCTATAATTTACATTGTCAACATCAGTTTATATAGTATATTACTCTAGTTTTATTCTACACAACGTTTCTACAATTTACATTGTCATGATAAGTTTATATGATATACTACTCCTGGGTTTTATTCTACACAACGTTTCTATAATTTACATTGTCAACATCAGTTTATATGATATACTACTGAGTTAATTTGTACACAACGTTTCTATAATTTACATTGTCAACATCAGTTTATATAGTATATTACTCTAGTTTTATTCTACACAACGTTTCTACAATTTACATTGTCATGATCAGTTTATATGATATACTACTCCCGCGTTTTATTCTACACAACGTTTCTACAATTTACATTGCCATTAAATAACAAAATATGATATTTTAGTATTATACTACATTATCTAATTTATACTTAATGATAACTGAATATACAACGTTTCGGCAATTTGCATTACGTAGTACACTTGTATGAAAACTTCTCTTGGGTTTTCACTTATACAATTTAAATTGTCATTCATAAACGAAAAAAAAACAACCAGCATTTTGATGATCTTGGTTAGTCTTATTACTGACGACGTTTTCATTGTAGGTTTGTTTTTCGTCAGTGTTAAAAGGAGATGGTGATTTGCACCATTCTCTGGGATGTGTGGACAAATCGGTAAGATATATTTTCTAGAAATCATACACATATATATTTGATATTATAGCGTGTGAAATTGTTTCAAATTATCAATTTTGAAAGATGTTGCTTAAAAGCTCAAATATCTTCTCAAAATTGAACTGATGTCTAGATCTTTAAAGTATAGACAGTCGTAGTTGTAAATGATTTACTTACTAAGTTAGCTAAAGGTTTAACCCACGAATGCCTGGTACACAGATACCATGCTTATACGCCTTGGCTGTTTGTATCTTTCTTTGAAGTCATAATATCGACAAATAAGTTGTATTATTTGGTGCACTGGCCTAGGTGTATTGGATGCTATATTTGTATGACTTTCAGACCTGTCAGGGTTGGTCTAGTAACAACACCGAGAGATGTAACAGTGGGTTTTTTCTAGAAGGAGACCAATGTTCGTATTGCTGTGAGAAAGATTTGTGCAACATGGACACCATTATAATGGACGGTAAGTAAACTTATCTTTATTGCGATAATTCACACCCGGTCCCGGATCCAATCGTTTGACTTATAGTCATGTTTCTTAGCATGTTTACTAGTTTGTGTTTTTCAGTAGTTTTCTTTTGAGGCTTTCTTTAATGGGGATATCACACTCCGGATCCATTCTTTTGGTTCTATGTTCATGTGGTTATGCATGCGTGTGTTTTCGTGTGCTGTTTATATTGTGAAATGTGTTGGGAGTTCTCATAGCTCTGTGAACATTCTGTTTGTGAACACTGTTTTTACTCATCAATTTATAATTGTCTGATTAACTTTTATTTCAGAAATCCCTCAAGAACGTGTCGAACCTCCACCGCCACATCATTCTAAGGAGCATAGAGGCCCTTCCAGACAAAAATCAGGTTCGAAAAGCCATAGAGGTCCTTCAAAAGAAAAATCAGGTTCGAAGAGCCATAAAGGTCCTTCTAGAGAAAAACCAGGTACGAAAGAACATAAGAAGCCAGCTACTCACGAAAGGCGACCCACAACAGCCAGGCCAACTCGGTCAACGACTGTGCGAGAAAGAATCACGACAAAGCCTTCTCCACAGCCAACGTCTGCATCAACAACAATAGAGACAACTCCTGTAGCAACATCAAGAGAGACAACTCCTGTAGCAACATCAAGAGAAACAACTCCTGTAGCAACAACAAGGGACACAACTCAAGAACCAAGCACAAGGGCGCCAACTTCTACTCCCACAGAAGCCCCTACTTATAAGTCCACGAAATCCATAAATAAAATTATTGAAATCATCTCCAAAAAGGGCAGCAAATCCAAGTCCAAGGAAAAAGGAAGCAAATCTAAGTCCAAAGAAAAGGGTAGCAAATCGAAGGAGAAGGGCAGTCATTCCAAAGAATCGTGTAGCCATTCCAAAGAAAAAGATAGCAAGTCTAAGGAGAAGGGCAGTCATTCCAAAGAATCGTGTAGCCATTCCAAAGAAAAAGATAGCAAGTCTAAGGAGAAGGGCAGTCACTCCAAAGAATCGTGTAGCCATTCCAAAGAAAAAGATAGCAAGTCTAAAGAAAAGTGTAGCCATTCAAAAGAAAAGGATAGCAAATCCAAAGAAAAGGGAAGCAAATCCAAAGAACATGGGAAACCATGCAAACCTGGCTGTGACGGAAATCATAAGCCCTGGAAGCCTTGCAATCAGGGAAAACCGGACAAGCCTGGGTGTGGAAAACCTGGTTGTGGAAAGCCGGACAAACCTGGAAAACCAGATAAACCTGGAAAGCCTGGATGTGGCAAACCGAGTTGTGAGAAACCAGACAAACCCGGAAAGCCAGATAAACCCGGAAAACCCGATAAGCCTGGCTGTGGAAAGCCTAGTTGTGGAAAGCCTGACAAGCCCAATAAACCGGATAAACCCGGAAAACCCGACAAGCCAGGATGTGGCAAACCTAGTTGCGAGAAACCCGACAAACCAGATAAACCCGACAAGCCAGATAAACCTGACAAGCCAGATAAACCTGACAAGCCGGATAAACCCGACAAGCCAGATAAACCCGACAAGCCTGACAAGCCAGATAAACCCGACAAGCCTGACAAGCCAGATAAACCCGGCAAGCCGGATAAACCAGACAAACCGAATAAACCCGACAAACCAGATAAACCCGGCAAGCCGGATAAACCAGACAAACCGAATAAACCCGACAAACCAGATAAACCAGACAAACCGGATAAACCAGACAAGCCTGGATGTGGAGGCTCATGCGGGTGTACCAGCTGTGGTTGTTGTAACAATGTTGTCATCCCGCCCATTAGCATCTCCATCAACGTCAATATAGGTTTAGGCGGAGGGGGAGCAACGTGTCCTTACCATAAACTAGCGGAAGTACTGGGGTTAGTTGATCAAAAGAAACATGCGCAATGGCACGAATATATCACATCTACAGCAAACAGTATGTATATTTTAATTTATATATTTCAACATTATTTTGTGGACGTACCGTCACCTTTGTCAGTCAGCCCATCCATCAGTATACAGTTCGCTTGTTTTATTAATAACCATGGTACCCAGTGCTTGATGTTCTTCTTATCCGTTTAGCTGTTTTGTGGACCAGCAGCTAATGGGAACCCCAAAAACACGCCCCAATAATTACAAACATGCAATCAGTCCCCTTTCAGCTATATCAAGATAGTACAATTTCTGAGTTGTCTTCCCTCAACCCCTATCACCATGTAATATATTTCAATGTTAATTTTAGGTACTGGAACCTTTATATCTATTGACACTAATGAAAAAAATACTTCTGTGGTTATACCCAGAAAATCTGAGAACTCGACTACAACTTTACCTCAAACTTCCTCGCTAACCACAACACACCAACCTGTCACTACCTCTACAGAACAACCGTCTACCGTGTTAGCTAGTACATCTACTTCTACGGTTCAACCAACAACGTCTACGGCGCCACTATCGACATCAAAGGTTCGACCTACGACCACAAAGGTTCAACCAACGACCACAAAGGCACAACCAATAACCACAACGGCACCAACTACCTCAACGGCGCAACCAACTACCTCAACGGCGCAACCAACGACATCAACGGCGCAACCAACAACATCGACCGCTAAACCAACGACCACAACGATTCGAGCAACAACAACATCAGAAGGTCAGTAAAATTTATCTAATATTAATCTTTGTTCAAAGTTGAAGAGGATTAACTCGCAGTCATTGTGATTGTTAGACAGACTAAAGTACAAATAAAAGAGGTACGAAGTCATGTATGGTATATGCAAACGATTCCCGATGTTCCTCGTGAATTCACTTTTGATATCATCTACTGATTGAAGAACATTGAAAGTGTGGGTGGGGGTGGGGGAACAAAGCCGAAACAGCCTTTTTTCTGGTGGAGATGAGGGGGGGGGGGGTCGTGGAAACGCCGTTGGTACCTATTATATTCACATGTCGACACTTTCTTGTTTCATTGGTATAATGTTTATTTCAGCCTTTTCGTGTGAGACGTGTACAGACGAATCGTGTTCTAAACAAGAATCCATGGCGTGTCCTGTTACAGCTCAGTATTGTATGACCAGTATAATTCAAGATAAACAAGGAGCTAGAAACGTTACCAAAGGGTGAGCATTGAAACAATGAAATCCTACAACGAAAGCTACGATGTGTTATGAAGATTGGTTGAAATTTAGTCAGCACAAGTTGCTTTAACTACTTTTTTACATTGAATGTGCATAGTCTGGTAGCAGACAGGCCTCTGTTTATTATTCAGTCCACGACACAAGAACAAGCAGATTAATAATTCCCACTAACAGCTTATTAAGTAATGGCAAAAAGCCAAGAGATTTCGTGTTTTATGGTTTTAGAAATGAACCACCAAGTTCAAAACCAGGCAAGTTAACAAACAGACAAAATATACCCCTTATCCAATTTATGTGATAAAGCTTTTAGAAATAAACTGTCCATTACACCTCTGATTAGTAAACAAATATAACAAATATAAGTCCCATTTATTTAGCTTCATCTTCCCCCATTGTATTTCAGATGTACCAGCGAGTCGACCTGTATCAAAGAATGGTGGTTGAAGACTGCCGGACAAATGACTGTTTCTTCTTGGAGTCGGGGGAGAAGGGACCACGTGACTCGCCAATGTCTTGTACATTCTGTTGTACCGAATCATATTGTAACGACGGTTTTATTCCTGAGTTTAGCAAACTTTACTCTAAATATCACGCTTAATGTAATAAATAGTTTACAAAATACATAGTTTACATGAATAGTTTACAAAATACATAGTTTACAAAATACATAGTTTACAAAATAAATAGTTTACAAAATACATAGTTTACAAAATACATAGATTACATGAATAGTTTACAAAATAAATAGTTTACAAAATACATAGTTTACATGAATAGATTATAAAATAAATAGATTACAAAATAAATAGATTACATGAATAGTTTACAAAATACATAGTTTACAAAATACATAGTTTACAAAATACATAGTTTACAAAATACATAGATTACATGAATAGATTATAAAATAAATAGATTACAAAATAAATAGATTACAAAATAAATAGTTTACAAAATACATAGTTTACAAAATACATAGATTACAAAATAAATTATAACGGGGGGGGGGGGGGGGGGGGGGGG